AAGACAGTTAATAAGATGTTTTGAAATTGATCTGTATATGATAGATTTGATATTATAATAGAGAAACTGTCGTTACGACACACCTGTTTAGGTTTGAAAATTACAGCTGACGATGAAAAAAGATGGCTGACAGTATTTCACTTAGTTTAACGCAACAAACGAAATCGCTACAACCATAGATAAGTTTTTCTAGCAGCTAGAGAAAAATTACATACGGATCAATGTAATTTTAAAAATCTGTGGGTAAGTCATCCAAATGAATCCTAATAATATAAAATATTAAAACTGATCCACAAAGAGAGCTCAATGTATTTATGACAGAGCATATATAAATAAATTATATATGAATGAAACTCAAAAAATATCCCATTTGGATGGCCATTTCACCGAGTATTTTCATTCCGTGTTGATAAAACTCTTCCGAGTTTTATCAACATGAGATGGTAATGGCCATTGAGATGAGGTTTTTTTGAATTTCATTTATATATATATATATATATGCTAGACTCTCCCGTCGTTTTTTCTACGTATGAGGGTCAAGCAACTCGTCACCGACAGCCAGACACCAACACATATGATTTGATTATAGTAGTGAAGCTATAACCAAACACACTTTTGGAAGGGCCGAATACAGAGACCTGGTGTATCACGTGACACAAGGTCCCCAAACTCCGCAGGATTTCAGTTCAGGATTGAAAAATAACGTCAGTAATTGTCACGTGTGAAGAATATTTATCTACGCCCAGACTTTTTCCCTATTTCACCTTTCTTGACAAAATTACAGCTCTTACAAAGAAATATACACAACAGATTCATAAAATCAAAAGAAAATGGTTGAATACATCAACACAGATATAATGACAATATTCTCCACACGTGAAAATAATGACGTTATTTTTCAATTAAAAATATGAAAATGGCGTTTCTCTACATTCCAGTTGCTAGGTACATTCTGTTTTTGTTTTTTTAGTTACTTTGTGCACTTAATTTCATTTTCGTATTTTGCTTTGATAAAGTCTACATTGGACGAAACGCGTCAGCAATTACCAGTTTTCCTATTGTCATTTTTATTCATAAGTATATATATATATATATATATATATATATATATATATCCACTACCGAGAATTGAAATTTATCCACTGGGTGACTAGAAACCCAGACAGTTACGTTATCAGGCAAACGTCATACCAACACTTTCAATGGGCCTCGGTGACGAAGATTTAGCAAATCAGACTCGATATAGCGCCGCTCGTTCACATATATAGATAGAAGCTTGAAAGAATATCCCACTTGAAGTTATCTGAAGGGCGACTAAAATTTGACTAGACCGTCTACGTCATTGTGCAGTTGGCCATGGAAATCATTTTGAAAACACAGCTAACATTTGTGTTTTTGTTCTGTTTTAAGCTACTAAATTTCTATCATTTACTTTTGTTTCAAATAATTGTAAAAAAAATTCAACAATTAAATAAACTGCATTAAATTTCCAGTTTTTTTTTTCTAGACCGGCCTGTAGGTGCAATAAATACAGTAATTTAATTTCAAAATTGTTTTAATAATAGATGCTGTAAATTATTACGATTCACGACAGATAGATTTTGACTGATTTTGGGTCTTTCTAAAATTCTGGTGCCTCGCTCCCCTGTAATATTTAATTCTTACTTATTCAAAATTTTACTGAAATTCACGTGAAGGAAGCTTAAAAGTCTAATAACTTAGTCTCTAAACAAACCTTCAAAGACCATGGCGTCCATGAAAGAGAAAAATATAAAAAACAAAAAAAGATAGTTAAATATATATATATATATATATATATATATATATATATATATTTCGGAACGCATAATAGAGAACTGAAAGGCAGAAATATAAAATATTTGAATGAAGGATTATTCAGTAATATACTTTGATCATTTTAATCATGAAATAATAATGCAAAATGAAATTTGAGCTCACTAGAAAACAATTCGTTGTAAATAACTCATTCTCGAATTTCCCCTTTATTCTGTTGGTATAGTAAGCCGAAGGGTGCACATCCTACGCATGCCCCACCCAAAATATAACCATACCCCGGTGGGTCATGCGCCCCACGTTGGGAACTATTGTTCTTTAGTAGTAAGAAATTATTTCTATTACAACAAGTGTTTAAACCAGAATCTCTATCTATAAAAGGCAGGGTGTGTGTGTGTGTGTGTGTATGTGTGTGTGTGTGTGTGTGTGTGTGTGTGTGTGTGACGTACGGCCGCAATTTTCGAAGGATTTGCCTCAAAATTTGCACATGCTCCAAGTTAGCGGAAAGGCCAAGACCGACTTTTGCATTTCCCAACTCCCGTCGATAGTGGAAATAATCGATTTCTTCATGCTTCTACGGTAGTTTTCATGTTTGGTTTGGAGGAATGAGCCAATAGCTGGCTGCCAATGAATGGGCAGGAAGATTCTACTGGCCAGCGTGAGAGCCAACAGCTGACTGACACGAATTTTAACTAGCATGCTAGCATGTAAAAAAAAAAATCGATAACTGCATTCGTCACAAGTGGGAAAAAATTAAATCTGCATGGCACTTTACTCCAATTGGCTCATTCGCTTCGTAGACTGCTGCAACCATCAGATGACGACCCCTGCGTACGAGGACCGTCGGATTGCGGACAGAGAGTTGGCACGGAGTTATTGGACTTAGAGCCTTTCGGTTTGACCGATTTTTAACCCTACGCGACATACGGCCTCTTAGACGACCGGAACCATCAGAGGACGACCTCTGCGCACGAGGACTGTCAGATTGCGCGCAGAGAGTCGCCACGCAATTCTTGCACTTCGAGACTTTCGGAATAAACGCTATCGACCGCTACACGACCGACGACCGCCTGACTATCTGCTTGAGCGGTGAATTCTTTTCATATATCTTTCGGATTTTCCATACTTTCTTCGAACGAATGCACGACTACGACACCTTGCATCCGCGCGCAAAAAAAAACGACGGAGGTCGACAAAGCCATTATCGATGAAGATTACGTAAAACGCGCGTGAAGATTGAACTAACTACGCAGTAGTAATAGTCATTCAGACATGCCTTTTCCACCATTAAATTGTCTAGAGGTACCCATTATTAAAGGAAAGATAGCAAAGGGATGGGGACTACAGTTATATTGATTGCGATGATTTTGTATGAGGCACCCAGTGAGAATCAAACTCACTGCTTATTAATAGTACTAGTCTCGTTCACGCCGATTTTGTAGCGACAATTACTGAAACAATTCATGAAGGTATGCTTTATGAATTGTAACAAGATGAAAAATGCCAGCAAGAAATCCTTATAATTAATGGAATCATAACATTTGCAATTCCTAATCTTTTCCCTGACTAAAATTAATGTCCTCTAATGTTAAATTCCTACCCTGTCCCTATTTGGAGAATCATCTTTTGGCACGTGCCTTTTTGTGTTGCATTCAGTTGCAGAGTTCTCAGTAGCCAGTGTTCTAGAACGTATAAAAGCTACAATTTTTTACTGAACATTATCTCGGCAAAGAAATTAGCGAAGCAAATAACACTACACATCCATTTATCTCGCATGATCAAAGGTTGCGTCCCGTTTCGTCAAAATTCCGTTCTTTTGCGGACAGACACAAAATACATGACCCTCGCTCTCCCTCTCGGAAGTACTGAAAAAAACAGGACTTTGTAGTGGACCGTGTGGTTTTCGTGTTGTTCAATTAGAAACACGCGCTGTTTATTCCTGCTAGAAGGAAAATGTCCAAATACAAAAGAAAAATATATGTATTAAATAACAAATTATATATATATATACAAATATGACATTAATATTTGTGTTTGTGTATGGAACGTAAAGAATTTCTATATTTGCACACTGAAAGTTCGCATTTGTGTGGTGTATGTCTGTTTCATGGCATTTTCATTGTTTTGTTTGGGCAAAACGCAGATCTATACGAGAGATCACATTTTTAAATGTGTCCGCTGAAATGCAAAGAAGAAAAGAGAACGAGGCAAGAAATCGCCCAGTATTTATAGTGTAGGGAGAGTGTCTCATAGGGAATAATTAGGGAATTAAGGAGGAGCTAACTCTGACAGCTTTACATTCGGGACTGGCTTGGCTGATGGAGTGTCCGGAAAAGTTGACATCCAACCGCCAACAGGGCTGCACTCCGGGTTTTCTATAACCTTTTCCGTATTTGGTTGGATATGATCGTAAGGCAGTGCAGTTTTAAAATAAGGATTTTCCTTCACCTAAATAGACTGTTTTCCTGGGCTGCTGAGCTCCATCTGCCTGAAACAGCTGGATATGAGGCGCCAGTTTTCCGCTTTCATCCAGTCTCCGACTTGGATATGGACAGAGTTCAAAGACCCTTTCACTGATTCATTCGTTTTCTACGGCTTATCAACCCTTTGCCGGTTATTTAAAGCAAGAAAATATTTTTAGATTGTAAGGATTTTTTGTGTAGCGCGGGGGGAGATAATAATGATTTAGTGATACTTGCTAATTAACCCATAGCTGGAGGGAGAAGAGATGGATTCATACCTAATTAAAATTTGATAAACAAACAAGACGTTATAATGTGGATATAAAATGGGGGATCAGTTCTATATTAAAATCAATGTGCCAACTGATCCCTCACTTTGTGGCCACAGGAATTTCTATAAATTTATATTCCAGAATGTGTAAATACATCTGGAAACATGCATGTGTAGTTAATCAATATTTTATTGATTGATCGATTCGTTTTCTACGACTTATCAGCTATTGGTTGTTTAACGCCAGAGAATATTTTTTAGAAAGAAATAAGAAATTGTGGGGGAGGGATAGTAATGGTTTAGTGATGCAAGTTTTACTATTTAACCCATAGCTGGTTCGAGAACAGCTAGATCCATATGTTTCCGAGAGGATTTACACATATATGAATATAACGAACCAAACGGGAATTGGAACTCGGCTCTCCGATTAACAATTCCGAGCCTTTAGATATTACACCACCCGCACATCCAAGCTTACAGCACCTAGTATTCCCACGCGGTCACCCATCTAGGTACTGACCAGGTTCGACGTTGCTTAACTCCGGCGATAGTAGGGGTTTCAACGTGATATGGTCGTCAGCCTCTAAGATTTTAAAGATTTTATTGCCAAACATAAGAACTGGTATTTTCACTCTATAAAGATTTAAATTTAATGGGAAATTATTTTCAGACTAGCAGCATGGCCCAGTGTTGCCCGTGCTTGATTAAAAAATACATCCCTTACTTCTTGCCTATCTCACACTGCGAATCAGAATCAACGTTGAATTTTCGAATTGCTCTATACTAAACATTAAATCTATTACGAAAAAAGAACTAAACAAAATGAACACAAAACGATCAGCTTTAAAAAAAGGACTCGTAACTGGAAAAACCGAATGAAAAAAGAATGTTAACAACAAATACTTTTTCACATCCAACCCAGTTCTGCGGAATCAGAATCAACGTTGAGTTTAAGCAAGCTAATGAGCCAATTGGAGTAAAGTGCCATGCAGATTTAGATTTTCCCCACTTGTGACGAATGCAGCTATCGATTTTTTTGCATGCTAGCATGCTAGTTAACATTTGTGTCAGTCAGCTTTTGGCTCTCACGCTGGCCAATAGAATCTTCCTGCCTATTCAATTATTTCTACTATCAATTGCAGTTCGGAAATGCAATGTCGGTCTTGGCCATCTTGTTAACTTGGAGCATGTGCATGTAAATTTTGGTGCAAATCCGTTGAAATTTGCGGCCGTGCATTCGTTACATACACACACATATCCTGCCTTTTATAGATAGAGATATATTCTATTTTGGGATTATCGAAGGATTAGTGTTTCAACCAGGAGTTGTTTTTTTATATATTGTACCAGTATCTGTTTCTATTTGCCTGCAACCTTGTTGCACAAAAAGCCTAAAGTAAGTTTTCTGCCATCGAATTGTTCCACTAAGTGGGTTGACTGGCCAAACGCTCAATTTCTGTCCTCTGAAGGAGGTTTGGTCTTTCGGTGTTTTCCTTTCCCTAGGCGATCACATATTCCCATATTAACCAGTTACCTTGTCTTAAGTTGGTTGTCAATCAAAACTAAAATATCAGGGTGCCAAACTATTTAACCCATATCTGGAGGGGAGAAAAATTCACGAATTTGAATTTGAATTTTGCGAATTTTAATTTAACGTACCCGACTTAAATTCGATCTCGACTTGACAATTTCTTTTTAGGTGACGTTATCTATTACACCACTTGCACATGCCTGTAGCTGTCTTTTCTTGTTTTTTTTTTTTTTTCCCTCGCTGTCGCCAGGGACGAAACGTACGTTATTTTCGGAAGTGCGTTAGTTACTTTTAAACTTTCACTTCCATCAGACACCAATCACTGGTGCAACCAAAGTTAATTTGGGTTGACAAAAAAAAAAAAAAAAAAAAAACGACTTTAAAAAAAAAGCCTAAAATCCGCCTCAAGCATATAAAAAAAAAACATTTCATTCGCCTAAATTTATGCTATTTCGTTGAAATCAAATATCAAAAATAAATTTTTCACATATATTGAAATTGTTACGAAACATTATATATTTTTTAAAGACGAATGCACATATCCTTCAAATCTACCATTCGTCCTTATATATATATATATATATATATATATATATATATATATATATATATATATATATACTAGACTCGTTTTCCTAAACCCTCGAATTTTGATTTGCTAATCAAATCAATCTCGAGGGAAAAAAAGGTTTTAAAAAAGAAAGACCTACAAACATGAACTTCTGCCGACAAAAAATCGCACAGATGCAGGTCTGAAGCCCAAAGAGAAAAACCCGATACGAGTAACTACTAACTAACAAAAGCGCTCAATACAACCGTAGAGCAGACCTAGATACACCTAGTGAGCCAGACAAATAGACAGAGGTTTCACTAAATGGATCGTCAGGGAAAGTTTGGCTAACGCATATAACACATATTTCCTGACGATCCGTTTAGGTGAAACCTAGGTAGGTTTGTCTGGATCTCTCTATATATATATATATATATATGGTCTGGTGACCCCCCCCCTATGCTGTTCATCCCGAGGTTCTCGACAAATTCCAAAGACGGTCGTCTTCGAGTATAGAATCCAGAGGTTAGCAGCGAATATTTCGGAGACAATAGGAAAGCGTAGTTCAGGTTCGCAGTGGATATCGCAGCAGAGCGTAGTTCTTCCTTCTGTCATCTTCGCCTGACAAGTTGGCACTGGTCATTCGGCTAGAGTAAACAAAAATGGCCGCCTTCATACACGACGGATAGAATGTTCTGCGGCTTCTGATTGGTTAACCTTCTATTGGTAGACTATAAAGCGAGTCAAGGCATTTGCACCAACTCACTAGTCATATACATATATACATATACACAAAAAAAACTGTAACACGGATATGCAATGTGAGAGGTCCTGACCTGGCATCTCAACTACAGCCATTTTCTCACAGACGTGATGTGGCTTCCCTCTGTCTTTTCTAAAAAATATTTTGATGGTAACTGCTCTGACGAGCTACTTTAGCTGGTACCCCAGCTGCCTTAATTTAAGCGTGCTACTAGATTGTCGGTCCTACCCTTTCACTGTCGAAACTGTCAAATGTAATCGTCTCTTCTACGCAAACAGCGTCTTTTCTCCTTCTTCCTCTCTGTGGTATTCTTTTCCTGTTACTTGCTTTCCAGATAACCATAGTCTTCAAATATTCAAGTGTAACGTCAATCGACATCTGATACCTTGATATTGTTCCTCGTCCTTCTCTATATCCTTTCCTCTTTACTCTTGTTCTCAATCCTCTGTAACATCTTGCCTGCTAATGGCACTTCCGCCTTGCTTGGGGTGAATTACTTAAAAAAAAATGTTAGGCATAGCTGCTAAAATAAATCAACTAAGCAATCAAATATTAGAGAAACTATACAAACGCACCAATGTATAAGAGTAAGCAAACCACATCTCAGTCATTTAAACAGAAAGAGATGTTAGGAGAGTTTACCGGTCAAAATATTATAAGAAAAACGACAACAAAAATGAAGAGATTCGTTTCATTGATTGATTGTTTTTTTTTTTTTTTTTTTTTTTTTACGGCTTATCAACCTTTTGCATGTTTCCGACCAAATTGCTGGTACGAGGGGGGTTATCATTATTTACATTCGGACTATTGCCGTCGTCTTGTTTTATATCGATCCGGGCTATCTACAGGGAATTTCGATCTGGGCTCTTCATTTAATCCAGGTGTGTGTATTATTGTGGGCGCAAGAATTTTCTTCCACATCTCATGTCTAGATCTATCTCTTCTACTCCTTCTTTTTAGTACTGTTCAGATATTGGTCGTGCGTTTCCGTTGAGTCCAAGCACACCGGGCGGTTGGCATACATGACAATGGCCTACTGGATTAGAACGTTGGTTTGTGAATGTGGTGATATGTTAATTGTGAGTTCAGTCCCTAGACCGGACAACTTTGTACGTTATTTAAAGACAGAAAGTGCACCCTTGTGCAAATTAATTGAAACAACCTCTTTATTATCCTTTCTTTCACCATACGGCCAGTTTTAGACCCGCGGGAATGAAAGGGTGGAATCGATGTCTATTTTTTTCCCTCAGATTAGGTCATTTGCAGTGATGTGTAGTAATATGAATCTATTTTTAGTAGATAGATAGATAGATAGATAGATAGATATGAACAAGTTGAGATAGATAGATAGATAGATTTCTTGTTTGAATTGAAACAACCGCTTTAGTTTCCTTTCTTTCACCATACGGTCAGTTTTAGACCCAATGGAGTGACAGGGTGTAATCGATTGCTATTTTTTTCTCAGATTAGGTCAATTGTAATGGTGTGCAGAAATATTAATCTATTTTCGTGGTGTATGATGAAATTTGTTTGGCCTTTTACTTTTGTCTTGCCCAAACATTATTGTCTCGACTGTCGATGAGTTGTCCTACGACTATTGTCTGTGTTGGGACATTACTCCAAGGTAGCGTACCAAAATTATAACGCTGTATGAACACACTGGCAAGCCTTACCAGTGCGCAAATCAAAGTACTATAGATTGTCCCGGAAACTCTCCTGATTTAAATCCAGTCAAGAATGTGTGGTCAATCAGCAAGGAATGACTTCATGGAATGGACATACGAATTACTAACATGTGCACTGGGTCATGAATCGTTGGAAAAATATGAAAAAGAAGTAAATAATAACGGGATTATTCGTTTTGTTTCAATTAATTTGCACAAGGGTGTAGATAGATAGATAGATAGATAGATAGATAGATAGATAGATAGATATGAACAGACCAAGATAGATAGATAGATAGATAGATAGATAGATAGATAGATATGAACAGACCAAGATAGATAGACATGAACGAGCTTAGATAGATAGGCTGGCCCGGAAACACTCCTGATTTAAATCCAATCGACTATCTGTGGTCAATCTTCAAGGAACGACTTCGTGGAATAGACATACTAAGTACTAACAGGTGCACTGGGTCATGTTTCATCGGAAAAATACGAAAAATAAGTAAATAATAACAGAATTATTTGTTTTGTTTCAATTGATTTGCAAAAAGGCGTATTTTTAGCTCATAAGAATTTTCTTAGAGATAATAATAATTTATAGATAAGAATCCTAACCATTAACCCAAGGGTATTCGAGCGTAATTGAATTTAACGAACACCACTGGAACTGGAACACAACTCTTTGAATAACGATTGGCAGGTAAGAATCAATGTATAATAATAAAAAAAAGGCCGAGGTGAGTACGGCAACTGGTCAGTTGCATGGGAAAATTATCGGCATATTAACACCACAATGGGTTCTTTAATGACGAACTCTAAATACTTTGAACGTATATGGGAAAATTAGTGACTCCCCAGTCGAACGAGGGACATGGGAAATGGAAACTTTAAAGACAAAAAGAGGAGAGAGAATTACTAAACATATTTCTTTAGCAGTTAATGTGAGTTCAGCGGAAAAGAAGTCCAGTACATGAATCTTTTTAAAATCGATAGAAACACTCATCTGAAGTTGATCATATCTCTTCTTCCGATGTCCGCTTGTCAAGACTAGGATATTCGTCTATTCAG